AAGGGAAGGGAAGGGAAGGGAAGGGAAGGGAAGGGAAGGGAAGGGAAGGGAAGGGAAGGGAAGGGAAGGGAAGGGAAGGGAAGGGAAGGGAAGGGAAGAAAGAAGAAGACAGATTCTGCCAAGTTGTCTGGGCTAGATGTAGTCAGCATGTTGAGAGATCCCCTGAGGGCCTATCCAGTCCAACAGGAAATGTTGCTCTCGTAGCTGATTCTCTGTATTTTTCAGAAATGTGAAAGGTTTGTGGAGCTCTGTGCTCCTGCCTTTCCTTCTGCTAGTAAACTATTGCTAAGCTCTTAAAAGGTCCAAGCGGGTGTCTCTGCTGTTCTTGAAGCATATGTAATATTTCTCTCAGGCCAAATGAGATAGCAGTGAGCCATGGCTGATGGAATAGCATGCAAGGCCAAAATATGCTTTGACCAAAGTGGTCACTGCACACTTTTGACTGGGAATTGCAGGAGCCAAAGAAACATTTCCAGGAGCAGCTGGGGCTGCGTGAGCCACGTGAGCAGCTGCAGAGCATAGAGGGCTCCAGCTGGTTTGTTTGGGTGGTACGCTGGGTGTCCGAACGCTTCTTCCTTGGCAGGCAGTGCCTGAGGACCCTCCATGCCCTGTGCTTCCAGGCTGGCGCAGGCGGTCGCACGGCCTCGCTGCTCGGTGGCAGGAAAAGGAGGTTTGTGGGGAACATCCTGCACGGTCAGCACGGGTCCGGCCCTGCTCCTCGCCCAGGGCCTTCCAGCAAGGAGGCCCCACTCGCCTCCGTGCCTGTGGAATGTTGCTGGCCAGCGAGGGCTGCTGCAAACTGGCCTGTGAGCTGTTCCCGGGGAATGGCCCTGCTGCGTTGGCTGTGTCTGTGTCCGTGGAGCTGCCAGCTCTGTTTAAAGCCATTTCTCACTAATGGGGTACTCAAAATATCTCCCTCCTTCCCGGCTGCCTGGGTGTCTGTCAAGGGGTGGCCTTGAGCTCTGGCCTGTCTCTCCTTAGAACAAGGGGTCTCCCTCCTTCCCTGGCTACAATCCTATGAAAAGCGAGGGGRTGGGTGCTGCCTGCCCCTCGGCACAGAGCAGGAGCTGGCTGGGGCTCCAGCAGCCACGTGGAAGGCTGCGGAGCAAGGTGACAGTGGCACAGAGCACTTGTTTCCTTAGGAAGCCAGCCCAGGAACAGGATGAACGTATATTTGGAAAGAGGCTCTCATTTTTTGTCTTCTTTAGGGTAAAGAAGTGCCAGGGCAAGCAGCTGGGCACAGAGGAAGAGGCTTTCCAGGGCATAAGTTTCCTGTGAATGCTCAAGTGGGGACAATGCATGTCTTAGATGGGGAGAACGGCTATTTTAGATGCACTGTCCTTCCCCCACAGTGGCTCACAGTCTGTCCTATATTTATGAGACTGCATCTGGAAAGCAACAAAAGATGAAAACACCAGACCCAGTGTGTTAACTGAAAAGGATATTTTTCAGTTAAGCAGATGGTGAATAGAAACCTACCATAGAAACCAGCTTACGCAACTCTTTTCACAAGCAGCGTGCCTGTTAAACACAAAGCCCCAGATAGAACAGCAAGATAGAGCTAGTCAAAACAGCCTGGGCTATTAAAATAGTGAAGTAAAGAGCACGTAGTAATTTTAAATGAACTTGCAGAGGATGTGTTCAAGTACAAAGGCAGTGATGTAATCCAAGAGGTGCTTCAAAACCTTACAGTTGCAGTTTCTGTTAATGTGCACAGCTCACCAAGCCCCACAAATCAACAACAACAATAATAATAAAACCCTCACTGGAAGCATGAGTCAGCCAAAGGTAAAGGCACTCAGTGGCTGCTTGAAGCTGTGCAGGCCTCCAGCATGGCCAGGGGCAAGGCGAAGGTCAGAGCAAGCTTGGGAACCCGGCTTTGCTGTAGCCTTAGGTGAAAGGAACGGCTGTGGGGAGAGAAAAAAAAAAAAGAGGAAGCAGAGCTATAATAAAGAAAAGAAAAAGGGAGAAAGCAGAAAAGCACTAGCTTTTCCACTTCTTGCCCCATGGAAGTGATACCGTGCATACATACTCCTTGCAGCAGTATCATCAGGGGAGAAGCAGAGACTAAGGTGATTGAAGGAAAGGAGGAAGCTGAGAGGATTTTTATGTTCTTCATATTGCAGAATCTCAGAAATTAATTACTTTGACTAATATCTATCAGGAAGACCTGAGTTTTAGGATACAATTTAATGTTTAATGGCAGGAAAGTATAGCTAGTATATAAAGTGTAGTAAATTAGCTACCTTCTATTTAGCGTTCATCTAATATTTGTGGCTATTTTGAAAGTTAATTGCTGTTCAAAATAGCATGTTTTTAGCTCCCTCGATTCTGGAATCTTCATTATTATGGCTGGTAAACCAAATATATATGTAGTTTGAATTTTTTCCAAGTGCTTAGAGATATTTCCATTTGCAAGGATGGCAGGATTCATCGTAGCAAAGACTTGCATGCTGAGTATTACGGACTGTGAACAAACCTGCCGCCTTTGCAGATGGTTTTCTAACTCTCACTTTTTTTTCTTGTTTTTAAAAACTTCTATCTTAACTGTCAATTGAGTCTCTAATAAAGGCTGAATATACTGATAGCAACTCTCCTACTTCCAAATTTTCCCTTATAGAGTCCTATTTTTGATTGATTTTCATATAGAAGAAACTCCCAGAGGAGCTCATGGAACCATATGGGTCCTATCTTTTGACATAACAATTATTGCCTGATAATAACACAATAGCAATAGCAGCATGTTTGGGAATCAACAGTGAAATACTAATGAATGTTAATGCATCAGTTTAATTTAGTACATTTGTTTTGTTGATGTACTTATTAACCTTCTGGTCTGTGGTTAATAAGCCATCCTATTTTGAGGTATTATCATCTAGGGGAAGAAGAGAAAAACAACATTGATGGAGTTAGACAATTTGCTTTTSTTTCATTCACGTTTTCCTTGCTAATTGACAGCAGATCCTAACGGCTAACCCTGAGACTGTGCTTGACTGCAGCAACATTAAAGTTATTTTAGTAGTGCAGTGGCAGTGATCATTTTAAAGAGCGAATGCACAGCTTATTTYGGGTGTACATAAGGATGTTTATGGCCAGGAAATACCACACATTGCAGTCGGCAGCCTGAAGGGCTGTCATGGTCACCCAAGCTCCGCGCGTGCTGAGCTGCGCCCGGCAAAGCTGGCGGCTGTGTGGGACCCACCGCGGGAAGGAAGCAAATGCCCGTGGATCACAAGGCTGTTTTGTATTGCTGGGATGCAGAGGATCATTCCGTGCTGGGGAACGCTTCTCGCTGCCTTGAGTTATGCCTTCAGCTCTTCCCTCCATTCATTTTCCTGTTTTCTCACTATTAGGCGAATAGTTCCTGTCCACCCGGTTTGGTTCAAAATCATGTATCTGCTGCTTTCCATGGGATTTGGGGATGCTGATGAAAAGACAGAGAAGTTGTTGGGAAAAGAAACATCTTTAAGCATACCTCAAAGTAGTTATAACCAAAGATATCTCTTAGCACGTGTATATACCACAACTGTCTTCCTTCTTCCCTCTTCTATTGATCTTTTTTGCTCTGGATGAGATTTATCTAGAGAATTTAACAGCACAAGTTTTCACTGAAAAGTAGTAACACTTGTGTTTCTAAAATCTCCTGGTCTGTTCGAGAGTTTCTCAATCAGTGGCTTTTATTGCTAATAGAGTCCTGGAAAGATAAGGTCTCAAAATGAAGAAGTCTTCATTAAAACAGAAGATAATTTGCTAGACACCTGTATCCGTCAGGGGCCTGAAGGAGCTAACAGATCTTAAGGACCTGAGYAGTCCCACCTGGGATCCACACTCACCTCTATTTAAGCTCAGTCTTGAGCTCTARCCTCCTTACTGTGATGCTGTAGCTGTGCTGGGCTTCAGCTCTACCTGATTCTAGGCCCATGATCATGAAGGTGCATGATGCCTTTGGTGGTGGCTTCACAATTAACACAGACCTTGCTGCTACCTAAGGTTATGTGCCCTGCTAGAGAAGGGAAGGGGGAAAAATTTAGTAACAAAGGTAAGAAAGCATTTTAGCTAATTTTATCTCTAATTTTTTTTAGACAGATTTGTAGGTATTTAACCTTATTTTTTGTTTCATTTAAAATCTAGGGGAGTTATTTCTGATAAATTAAGTCACCTTGAAAGAAAGTGATTTTCCTCCTAATGTTTGCTGTTGGGTATTTCTTTCTAGCAACTATGATTGCTCACTTATATTCAAGTAGTTGTTCAAAAAATGTTGGTGTCCCCAACTTGGCTTAGAACTTCCACAAAAGTAGACAGTCCTTGATTCTTCACTGGGACTGTGAAATSCTATGGGACAGGGATATGAATTTAATACTGATACACAATATGAAGTGAATATGTGTGCTTTAATTGCTGAAGTTTGCCAGGGTTTTAGTTGCTAMATATATTTATTTAGGAAGAGTGTTATTTCTGTTGCTTCCTACTRATAACACTTGCCAAATAGAGCTAATTTATTGATTACACTAGCCTTCCTGTTCTTATCATCCCTCTTCACTTCTMTCTCTTCTGAAACAGCTGTTTATGATATACCCTGCTGGTGCAATTAATGAAAGCAGCAAGGTTCATTTGTGCTGACTAACGCAGAACCAGTTTGCAGCAGCTGTGAGGGGAAGGGAAGATGCCTGGGTGCTAGGTCTGCTGTAGCAAGGGTAGCTGCAGCCCCTGCAAATGTTGGGATTTGGACTTCCTCCCCCAGAAAAAGAAATTTAGGGCTACCTTTTAGCAGCTATTTTACTGCACAAAGCATTTATTTTCAAAAAAAAAAAAAAAAAAAAGCACAGTCACTTGTTCTGAAGGTTTTTTGAGCCTCTTAGGTGTATGCACTTTGTATAGAGCTATGACCTGATTATTTTCAGAGGTATTCACACAGTTTGTTACTATGTTTTTTCCTCTCTCTGAAATCATTGTTTCTTTTTCAGAGGCTGTATTGATCCATGTTAGAAGAACATGTACTGTTCAGTATAGTTTTCTTGTAATTCTCTGCTCATTYCTTCAGAGAGATTCACTTGTCTGTCTCCTGCAAAGCAAGCGTGTTACAGCACATCAAGGACAGTCTGACACAGGAATCTTTTATCACTGTTCAAATTGTCCATTGAGCTTCTACAGGTCTGACCTGAATCAAGCAATTGTGATGGAGAGGCAGCATTGATTTACTCTGCAGTAAGCCAGGTTGAGTAGGGAAGCATTTTAAGAGTGTTTTCTCAGAAGCTAAAATGTACTCTCTCGAAATTATACTTTCCAGGAAGGATGCTGAAGACACAGCAATAGTGGCTACTGTGAACCTGAAATTCAAGCTTGTAGGGCATGGAGCCACATGAAGCAAAACCAAGGACAATTGCATGTATTTCTGTGAAATAAAGTGCTAATGACAATGTGTGAGGACCTGGACAGAAAAGAAAAAGGTAACAAGGTGAAGAGAGAAAAAGATTTGACTTTGTCCTCCTCTTAAAGCTAGATGGCATATTTCACATTATCTTAAAGTATTTTTCTTAATGCCTAGAAAATAGATGACTGAAAGTGTAGACTTCAGATAACTATACAAATGTAGCCTCTCATTTCTTTTGAACTTTTAACTTTTCTCAGTCATCTGATCTGCAGGCTCCTTAGTTCTGTGGTCCTACAGAGAGGACTTGCTTGATTTCTAAGTRTTCGATTTCCTTTCCTTGTGATATAATAAAGATATAGTATTTCAAATTCRTTCCTGGATTACTCCTTATACTTGAATACAATGAATTTGATGTGTAGTTTTCAAGTTCATCCCACTACAAAGGAAAGGAGTGTTTGCTAAGCAGCTACTGAGTTTTATGTTGATCTTTAGTTTGAATCTCTAACTGTAATATCATGTGGTTTTTTCCCCCTGTGAGAATGTGGTATAGGGCAAGACTGATACCAAGAGCTTTAGGTTCTACTGTGTGACACTGSGCCAACCTGTTCACTATTACTTGTTTCCTCTTTGGGAGGAAAAACTTCACCTGGCCTGAACGTGGCCTTAGGTAGAAGGCAGTAATGTTTGTGAAATATCAGCAAAAACTTACAGCTCTGTTAACTRAAATGGGTTTATGCCAATTTAAAATTTATGTGCTTTGGGCCTAGTGATYTTATTGAGCTTTGGAGGCAAAGTAGTATTAGTGTACATCTCAATATAATCTCTTGTAGATGGTAAACTGTAGATATTAAGAGAGGAAACAAGTCTAGCCAGAGTAACYTAAGGAGTGTTATTTTGGAGAATGATAAGGCCCTTCCGTCAGAAAGGGATGTGATAGCATGCAGGGGAATTGTCATTCCTATGTAGGAAAATGTGGTGTGTTAGTCCTGCGGGAACTTTTCATCATTGCTGTATATTAAGAACAAATGTCACCCTTTTCACAGCTTTCCCCGGAACAATTAAATAAACTGTGTGTATTTATAGTCTGTTGGAGGATACAAACACTGGTATTTGAAGTGCAGTTGGTGATTCATGGAAAACTGATAAACACTAATTCCAAAAACAATGGTGCTGGGTGCTTATGTTGTACTCCCTGTGGCTGCCACTGCTTGTATCTTAGCAGTTAGTCACATATCCTGAAACGCCCAGAGATGTGGTATGGCTCTTTGTTGGGAGTATGATTATTCTTTTTAGATGTATCTTTAATATTATTGTACAGGCATATTAAGCATAATACTTCTGTCTCAAAGATTAATTTATAGTAGCTGCCACAGATGTTGGTAGACTTGTGCCATCAAAGCAAAACTCACTACTATTTAAGTGACACCTGGCTTGCARCTTTGCAGAACTTGAACAACTGAGAAGGCTTGAAGGTAACTTTTAGCCTTAGGCTGGTCCTTTGGTATTGCAGTTGCAGACTTTTGCTTTTCACTCCCTGTACTCTGTCTGCCTTGAGTAAACATAAGATTCCAGAAGTGACAAACCAGAATCTTTCCTGAGCGCTTAACTTCATGTGAAAGAAGTTGTTATTTTTCACTTGARCTCATTTCCTGAAACGTTATATAACTTTCCTTGAGCAAGGGCAAGAACCTAAACACAGTTGGTACTAATCTTACCTCTAAATTAAAACAATAAGGAACTAGGCTCTGCTAYGTAATGCAGGGAAACTAGAAGCTGTAATCCTTGATTTGGGTCATAATTTTATCCTCTAAATTTCCAAGGCTTGTCACTACTAAGTGATCACATTTTAGGATTTAGGGATTTAGAGGAGGAGTTTGGAGGTGCTTTTSCTATTTCTAAAAGTAGAATATAACATGTGTACATGTGGTTCATGTAGGACTAAATAGCCCTTTTCTATGTGACCTGCCTGGGAAGTTAGGAATGGGTCTGACCTGGGCTGGCAGAGGAGCAACCGACTGAATGGGTTTTCAGATACCCCCTGTTAGTGTGTGCTTCTTTGCAGGAAAAGCAAAGCAGGAAAAGGCTTCCTTTTGGATTTTTGGATTCTGGAAGAAAAGATTTTGAGATGCTGTTTCCTGCATGCTAACTGCACTTTCTCCTGTGCTAGGGAGAGCCAAGTCTGCTTCCCGTCTTTACTGCTGTGCTTGGTGCATCAAGTCTTCCCGTGCCTGTCCCCGTTGGGTGCGGGCGCTCCTTGCCTCCGCACGCAATGCCTGCAAGCAGAAGGTCTGCAAGGGCCTAGGATGATTTTTTTGATTTACTGAATGGTCTTAATGTTTCTTTTGGATCAGCCCCAAGAAATTTGCTTCCTAGAAAACTTTAACCAGTTCTCTGCTCACAGCAGGTTGTCTGTAGCCAGTATAATCATATCTGGGCTGCATGGGTGTTTCTCACTGATGTGACATTGTTTCTTAATACGGTTATATCAATTAAGGATGTGTTTTTTCCCTTTCCAGCTACAATAACTATAGCAGCTTTTAGATGAACCATTTAAAGGTAGATCAGTTCTATCTAAAGATAGATATCTCTAAAGATAATTAGCTCCCCCCTACAAAAAAGTCAGTGAAAACATGAATAGGAAATAGGTGATGTTGGAACAGAGCTGGCTACCCCAGKACCAGTGGCTGAAATGATTTTGTGCATCAGTCATGGGTTTTGTTGTATGTGCAACAAAACTAGGTCTTTCCAGTTGGAAATCAGATTTGGGAAGGCAAGGAATGAGCTCCTTGGTTTGCTAAGAACATTGAGGCTTGCTCTGGATGATCCCAGTAAGCAGAAGCTGGTGGATAGTCTGTGTTGAGGCAGGATGAGAGAATCATACCCTCTAACTCAGTCTGGATTTAATGGGAGCATCACAAATGCTAAGGAATATAGGAATGTTTTCTTCTAGTGCTGTTGCAGGCTGCATCTGACTGCTTGCTGTATCAAAAAATGTACCTATATAGGGTTAATGCAGCTCCTAGCAGTGAGCCCTGTGATTCCAACCCTTTGCCCTCAAGTCATTGCTGCTTCCTGCCTTCAGATCGGAAATGACCACTAGGTAATTGTTTCAGTGAAAGCTAAATTACATTATTATTGTGTGTTCACTGGTCAATAGTATATACTGCTTGAATATTTTCCATCATTCCTGCAGCAATTTCTCCTTTTGTCTCCCTGTATCAAAAGCTACCACTCAAATTGCCATTGTTAGGCTTCAACACACCAACTGAGTCAATGGTGTGTCCCTGTTTCTCTATTGTACTTGGCTCATAAGGTGAATGTGGGATCATGTGCTACTTCCTGGTGGGTTATTTTTAAAAATACCTGTCTTGTCCTCCTGGGGGTTTCTGTTTGAGTCCTGCACTTATGCAATGTGAAGCTGCTGCCAAATCATCAGTTCCACCCAACTCTGAAGGCTTAAGTAGGGCAGGCAGCTGGTATCACTCACCAGATACACGGAGCCCCGAGCAGACTTGGGCAACCTGCATGGCACGTGAGGCTGGAAGGGGCTTGCCCTCTGTGGGATGTTAAGTAGGTTACATCTCTTCTGTTGCTCTTGCATCCTATTGCAGCCAGGAATAGACYTGGAATGGCTCTGAAAGCTTGTTTACATGCGGTTCCCATACTCTTTCTCCAACTCGCTGTAAAGGTCGTACCTCCTGCTGTTGGACACTGAGGACTGCAGTGAAAATAGGCTGTTGCTCCCCTCCTCCTTAGTGTTTCTTTAGCTCTTTTCCTTTTCCAGTGGGAATATTGCATTTGGGTGTGTGAATGAGAGAAATTCTTGCTGGGAAGCAAGTGCCTGAATTGTAAAGACACCTTGTCACCTGCCTGAAAAGMCCCAGATGTTCTTTTGTAAAAACACATGCAGTGAGCTAGTCACATTTTGATATTTTTATTTTTTTTGGAAATGAATTACATAGGAAATGTTAAATAACCAGGGTACATGCATGTTTTTCAGGGAGCTCCTTAGAGTGAACCTAATATACCACCTATGCCACCTAGCAAGATGCTCAAGGCAGTTAACTGTTCCTGTAAAATCCATTTTGCTGTAAGGGGATGAAGGTTGGTTTTTTTTTTGCCCTTGGAATCTGGCTGTGGGCTTAAGCATGGAAATRCCCATTTTTAGATGCCTCACCATTAAGGCTTTGTGGGTTCTCTGAGCAAACCTGTCTGTTTGCCCTCTTGTGTCAGTTCTTATAGAGAATTGGTGTCAATGATTGAGCAAGCTGGTTATTGGAGAGGGACCTCAGCAGAACAGGATTTCTGCTCCCAGTCAATTTGGGGAGTGATTGCAGCCCCAGACCTCTGAGAGCAAATCTTGCTCTGTTTACCCTGGGAGGGATGGATGATACCTGCATCAGAGGATCCCAGGGTGATGCAATACTTGCATTGCTCCCATGATGTTGTCAGTAAGGAAAGCAGGTGGATTTTGAATGCCTGTGGGAGAGCTTCATGCTAGCAAATTTGTTGTTCTCCTGGATAAAAAACAAGCTAAAAGCTTGTCTTGCTGGGMAAACCAATTGGGCAATATATGTGTTTTGATTATGCTTAAATAACCCACTTGAAAAGTTAATTCTGATTTATCCAAACACAGTCTCTTTGTTGCAAAGGCAGAARGTGATTTATTGTTTCCACTCTACTGAGCTAGTAGTGAGAACTTCTTTTTTTCCCATTTTTCCCCATCATTAACATGTTAATTTCCTCTGAAAGAAGCACAGTGAGCTTAGAGTGCTGTYTCTGCCTGGTAGTGCCACCTCAGTTCTGATGGGCCAAAACTTCAGTGTCCAGACAAAGCTGTTTGCTACCTTGCACAATGAGGACATTGCTTAGAGGGGCTTTCCCTTGCCATTAGAACATCAGGCAWATCCAGAGAGAAATTGCTGATCCAAAAAGAAGTCAAAGTACTGAAAACTGTGTGGCATGGGTAGGTCTGTCCCCATTCCTCCTGTAGCTGATCTCTGGCATGGAGATGGAGACCTTTGCCTTCCTCCTTGCTCCATAAGGCTAAAGATGCCTGTAATCTTTTTGTTTTTG